TCGGTCTGCAGAGAAATTGGTCTACCTTCTTGCTCATTTTACAATTAAAAGAAGCCTATTGGCCACTATGGTATGATCTTAAGCAATTTATTATTGATTTAGACACTGCGTCTGTGTTACAAAAGATGTTATCAATACAAGTAGAAGAGGAGGCAGTGATGCGAGTTGGTTCTAAGAAAAGATTAATCAAGTTAAAACTTTTAAATAAATTAATGAGTTTTTACAGAAGTAGAACAGTTTTCCAACAGGTTTACATTGAAATCTCCACATATTACTACGTTTTTTTTGGTTGGAAAAATCCGCTTTAAACTGTCTTATTCATAATTAATTCAAACTCGTTAAAATTAGCAGAGGGGGGCCTGTATACACACAAGACGACAAACTGATCCAATTCCACACATGAAATCTCAATAGTTCGTTCAGTAGAAAGATCTGTGATATCCTTACGCTCTTTAAATTTTAAGTTACGTTTAATAATAATCATGGATCAATAATCAAACTCTTTCTTATGAACGAACTGACTATTACATAATTTTCTATGTTGTTAATTGCTTCGTAGTCTTTCAGCCAGTGCTCTGTAACACCAAACACGTCAACGGAAATATCGTGCAAAAAAGACTTATTTCTAATGTTTTGGCAGAAAAGCCTTGAATATTTTGATGTACTACATAGGAACGATTAGACTTTTCTGTTGTCGTGTTTTTTAGTTTAAATTATGGTTAGTAAAAAGTATACTGTTGCTACTTAAAGTAGGAGCATTGTCGTGGGACTGTGTTATATTTTCTATAACAGCGTCCTTAATATTAAAAGATAGCAAAGTAGCTACATGTCTCAGATACCTTATGGGTAAAAGTAAATTATCCTCAAAAAGTTTGAAGTTCCTTACGAACTTATTAATGTCAAAACAAAATATAACGTCACTATGTCGGCAAGTCAAATTATGAATGTGCGAATTTATGTTATGTACCCATTGACTTACAATTATATATGTACCTATATACTTATTATTACGAGCGATGCCTAGGTTAGAGCAGTAAAAAAAAAAAAAAAAAAAAGGTTAGAGCAGTAAGGGAATGCACTTAGTATGAATTTACACCCACACTTCTCATGAATTCTCAAGAACACGTCAATGCTACTATTTACTTCTTTTTTACTAATGATATTACTATCACCTATTATAAGAATCACGATGCAGAGCGCAAACGCGCTGACGCCCACATAGGGCTATGATAGCAAACTTTTAAATTCTGAAACTGTTACATTAGCCTACACAACAAGTTAGTGAACGTAAAATAAACGTGGATGCTGATATCATTTGGTGCACCTGATTCCAGGGTCGCCATATCAAATACTTATTTAAAATTTAGCTAGTAAGTTAAAAAATTAGTCGGTTCCCAAAAATGCCCGTATTGAAATCATAAGGGTGTCCACGAACGGGTAAACCTAATTCCATATCGTCATTACCACAGACATATTATTTAAATAGACGCCGCAAGTGCACGTACCAAAAGTAAGTGAAATTCACTTACTAGCCGCTGCTACACTTCAGAACGCGCTCGACTGTTATCGTAGATAAACACCAGTCGAAAACGCGAAAAATGCGTAATTGTGCCATTATAAACTGCAAAAGCACCATAACTGTGGGTAAACGGGTAAACAGAGACGTTTCCTTCCACGGGCAAGTGATTTTGTAATCAGAAGATGCATAATTTATTTTAAAAACAATTATTTTGGTTTTGTATGAATTTCGAGGAAACAAATATGCAACCCAGTGATGTCTCATGATTTGTATTTTTGAGCATTGCAGCTTTTACTTGGTGCGATATACTTGTGATCCTTTGTATACGCCATGAATATCGAACGAACGCATTTTTGCATTCAGTATCTGTGGTACGCCCGTTTGTACATTTTTTTGGCCAAATTCAACATTTAGTGATATATACGTTAGGCAACACTGTTCTCGATTCTGATTAATTTTGAAAACAAAGGGACGAAAATTATTATGACCTTAGCAATATTATAAAAATATTCTATAACTCTTTTGTTATAACGTTTAGTAATGTTTCGGTTTTATTTTCAGTTTTGTAGTATCTATTAACAGTAGTATCTGTAATTTCGATAATTTTTGCAGCACGTTGCCTCGAATATCCGAATATAGTGAGTATATAATTACATATTAATTATTACGAATAATATAAAAAATATACAATGCAAAGAATTAACAGTGCGCTTTACAAAAACCTAAAGTTGGTCATATGTACGAAATCGTTGCTTTCGAGAACGAAAGTGGTCTAGTTTATCCCACCTAAGATTATATCCAAATATGCACAGTAGCAGTGTTAGAAATCGGAGAAATAATAAACAAATAACAAAAATTTCACACGAGGCGATCATTAAGTAAACCTCTTCTAATTAATAACATTTTACCATATTTTGTCATCAGTAACATTTTCATTTGTCTTGCCATTCATCAATTTGATCAATTACCAACAGAAAACCATCTAGTAAAATTAATTAAGACAGTCGCAAGTTTATATATTGAAGTGCGTTTTCATTATTTAAGTTAATCGATAAGATCTTGTATTACAAAATGATGTTATATAGTAAGCTCATTTTACTGGAAGGACAATCATTTTAATATTTGAAGTCGATTAAAAAGTAGTCTGAACTTTAAAAAAAGTAAAATAAAGGACTAAACTGTCTTATTCTAGTATTTTTCTACCATGTTAATATTACGACATTGTAATCAACAAATACTTGATAAAAAAATATTATATTTAGAACCGATTAATTGAATGGAATACGCGTGTTTACGCGTATTCCGTTCAATCAATCGATCTAAAAACACTTAATTGCCGTTTCTACGCTTCAGAACACGGACGAAGGTGGTCTAGTTTATCCCACCAAAGATCAGTGTTGGGCAAAATTTAATTGTTCTGGCAATTAAAGATTGACAATTAATTAATTGTCAATTGCGAAACAGCAATAAACGATTGATCAATTGTTAGTTGAACCTCCGGTTTCGTACGCGGCCGAAGGGGTTGCGAGAACCGCAATTAACAATTAATCAATTGTTAATTGCGGTTCTCGCAACTAACAATTGATCAATCGTTAATCGCAAATATCTACAATTAACAATTAATCAATTTTCAATCTTTTCAATGTTTTTGATTAACAATTAAAACTGACAATTATGATAAATTTATAGGGCATATTGGGGTGAGTTAGGGCGTTGGTTATGGGGGCCCGGTTGGGGGGCCGGTTGGAGGGCCGGTTGGAGGGCCGGTTGGGGGCCCGGTTGGGGGGCCGGTTGGGGAACCGGTTTGGGGCCCGGTTATGGGGCCGGTTGGGGGCCCGGTTGGAGTCCCCGGTTATGGGGGCGGTTGGGGGCCCCGGTTGGGAGCCCGTTAAGGGCCCCGGTTGGGGGCCCGGTTATAGGGGGCCAGTTGGGCTCCGGTTGGGGTCCCCGGTTGGGTTGCCCGGTTAGGGGCGTTAAGGGGCCTGTTGGCCCCCAACCGAGCAACCCAGCCGGGGACCCCAACTGGGCCCCCCGACTGTGGCCCCCAACCAGGCCCCCCATCACAAAAACCGTAACAGAACAAGATGTCAGCGTATTCTTCGTTCGTATAGTCAGACATTTTATCACCGACGTAAACAGGAAATGTTAGAACAGTAGAATGCAACGATACGCCCGCACTCGCGAATAGTTGCAGCTAACCGAAGTAAACTAACTAATTGGAGTCAATGAGTTCTACAAAATAAACTTTTAAATGCACAAAGGCCCCTATTGATGCCGAAGCTAAACAAAAAAAAATTTGATATAATAGCTCCCGGCAAGCCCGGTTAGCACCTACTCGTACTACCAGGTAGGTTCGTATTTCTAAGAAACGCTCCCCCGACCCACAATTTTATTATTGCAATAACTTGAAACTTATCTCTTATTTTTGTACAACATCTGCCCTTTTTGAATAGGTAATAGGTAATACAAGGAAGTATTTAAGCACTTGGTACACATCGTTCCATACATTTTTTTACAAGGCACTTCTTTTAGTGAGTAAAAAGTTTGTTCTTTTAAGTATTTTTTATTATTTTTTAACCACCATAGCAAATTTAACAGTTATTTCGTGCCCTCTTGGTATTAAAAAATAATTTTGATTCAATAAGTACCAGATAAAAAATCAAACAAGAAATAGAAACTTTTAAGAAAAAATAAAAATGAAGCTGAAAATAGGGATTTTTAACAAAAAACCTAAAATCTTCAATATCTCCGAAAGTACTCATTTTTGGACAGGGTATCACGTGACTAAATTTGTTTCAAATTAAGTCTACTTTAACCCCTTAGAAGGAATGTATCGAGTTTCAGGTCACCCTGTATTATCACATGAAAACTAAATAATTTGTTGTCACATTACGCCGTCATTGAGGTGAACTTGAGCACCTTTTATACACAATGATGGGCGCCTTACTCCAGTATAATTTTATTAAAATTTTGTTTCATAAAGGTAATTGACGCTTTGAGGAATATACACATCAACTACACCATAGTTTCCCAAAGCGGTTCCTACCCCCAGTGAGCGCTGAAGAGTTCTAGGGTCGTGGTAAGGGCCTTGGAAGCCATTGGGGGGTTAATGCTGTCCAAGGGGTGCTATCGTATTTGAAAAAAAATCTGTTATCTATCTATATAACGACACTACAAATATATATTTTTTTCCTTGCCTAAGTGGGCGGTGAGCCGAAAAGTTTGGTAAGCTATGAACTACACACTCGTATAATTCTTTGTTGGGGATAATAACATGCATAAATAAATGCGTAGTAGAACATAAATAAATGCGTAGTAGAACATAAGTAGTTGTTAGCCTAGATCATAGATCATACACTCTATATTTGAGATATTCAGAATAAGCCTCTTTAAGTTGTGACGCCGGATTCACAGAACCCTAATACGAAATAGATTTTGTAGAAGCGGACAAGGATTTCAAAATTGTATACAAAATTCTTACCAATCATTAAGTTGCAAGCATTTTCCGAGAATGTCTGCCCTTGAGCATTAACTAAAGCTGCTTTTAATTCAGAGGCTGTGATGAAACCTGATCTGTCTTTGTCAACTGCTTGGAACCATTGCTGGACTTGGGGCGAGATACCGCCGCCCGGTCCCACAGACGGATACGGTCCATGCCCCATTTCCAGGCCACCCGGTGGAGCGTAACCTGGTTGACCACCTGGAGCTCCGTAACCTTGCTGTGGTTGTCCATAACCGGGCTGAAATAGGATTATAAACCATTTATATTATACTACCTACCTATTAAGCACAACATAGTTTCACGTACGTACCTTATTCCAGCGTGGCTATGGCCGAATTTTTGAAATTTGACTAGCCAGATAAAATGTCGCTATTTTATCGGCTCTAGTCGCAAAAAACTAGATTTAGTCGGTCCACGGTTTAAAAGTTATAAGGGCGTTATACTGTCCACCCTGGAATAAGATAATTCCAGCGGCACCATTTCTCTATCTCGAGAACCACAACACCTACCTTAGAGCTGATTACACTAAAAAAGTCATGATTTAGTCGGTACAGTCGCGAAATTTTAGAATTAGCCGCTCCTTCGTTTAGAAGATATTGGACATTCAATTATTTTCATTGATAGACATTTACGTAGAAAAATCGTTTCTTACTGTCCGCGCTGGAATAAGCTTATTCCAGCGTGGACAGTAGGTAAAACACCCTTATAACTTATGGACGGCCGACAAGAACCGACTAAATAGCAACTTCTTATTTGGCTAGTCAAATTTCAAAAACTCGACCATAGTCACGTTGGAATAAGGCACGCCATACTTTCTAGACAGTTTCGTTAAGTTTTGAATTGAATAGAATGGCGTCATCGAGTATATAACCAGAAATAGAGACGAAATAAGGGCTCTTATAAATATCAATTCCCGATTGCACTGAAATATAGACAGGCCAACTACTGACCTGTGCATAAGTCTCCATGTATTCCAAAAAATATTCTGTATTTATTGTAACAAAGATAATATCTCTAACAATGCTGTGCTGTTCTATTCGGTGGTGTGGGAAAAACAGCAAAACATCTAATTACAAAACAAATGGAATCACATTTCATTGGGAATTAAATATGTAATTTTGCAATTTACGTCCATTATAGCAAAGTTCAAGTTAACTGGTCGATTTGAAGTGAAACAGTTGACGACGCCCATTGACGACACCCGTCAATTGTTTCGAACTCGGGCTAGCCAATCGGTGCGCAGTTGTCACAGTAATGATATGGCAGAATAGTTTCCAAACAAATTAAATGAAATTTCGTCTCTATTTCTGGTTATATACTTGATGAATGGCGTTGACTACACAGAATTCATGATTGTGTTGAATTGTGTGCTTATTTTACAGAATTGTTATTTGAAATGACTTAATTGAGTAGGTTATATTCCTTGTGAATAATAGAATATAATAGGAAGTTCTTTACAGGAAATATAACTCTTTTTCAGATCTAAATAGCATTTTTTTTTCAAACAAACCAGCGTTTACAGGTTCTCTTAGACCTAGGTTAGCGTTGGTTTGTTTGGAAAAAAAACTAATATACGCGATTTAGATCCGAATAATTTCATTTCCTATGTGTAACTATCGCGAAAAGCTAAGAACTCTATAGAAAGTTCTTTAATGATTTCAATATATGTGTTACAGATATGCCCGCAAATGGGAGTGTATTTAATGCATTAAACCTGTAAGTCAATGGTTAAACCTATCAATAAATAACGAAATTTGTCGTAAAGATTTATACATTTATTTTATATCGTGTAGCTTAGGGATAGCAATAAAAAAATTAGATATAGTTTTTATTTTATTCTAAACAGTAGGTATAAATAGTTACAGAACTAAATCTTACTACGAATGTAGGAGGTATTTACAATGTTCTGTATACAAACAATATAAAACTGCAAAACTACGTAATTTTTTTTTTTCTAAAAATGCTTCAGGCCTAATACATAGTATCTATGCAAAGGGCACATTTGTTCCTTAGTAACTACTATAGCTGCCATAAAAATTCATTAAATGAAAAATACTGGCTTAAACATAAGACACGACATACACGTATTTAATAATCGTTACAACAGTCTACTTTCTTAATTTAGGAGTGATGTTTATTTTGTATGCACGTGAACATAAATAAATATTTCAAAACTATTCACAAATACAAAAACAAATTTGTTACGTAAATACATTTTAAGACGTCATGAACCAAACCGAAATAATCATGTTTAAAAAATTTAATAATTTAAAATTACCGATTGTATAAATGACCTAAATCAATTTGTTCATGGCATTAACTTTGTCCTGTTTTTATTTTCACATTGCCCTATTTACAATTTTACGAAATGGGTATACATTGTCCAATTTGTATGACGGTATTCACGCATCGTAAGAAGTCTTAATGTTAATTTTGGGTTACATAAAGGTAAAAATGTTTTTGAACAGAAGTCACATATACAAAAACAAAACTTTTACTATTTGTGAAACTATAAATATACAAAAAATGGAATCGTTTAAATTAAAACTATTATTTTTGTACAACAGACACAAAGTTGTTTGTTCACGACCGCGATATTCTAAGATTGTTGTCAAAGGTTATCACGAGCAACAATGCAATTTTGTTTTTTAATGAGTCCATTTTCACTTTTACAATGATTTTGTTGTTACTTTACTGCATGAAGCTTCTTTATGACACTGTATGTATACCTATCAGGGATACCGCAGGTGTGAGTTATGACATCTGTAGATGCGGACGCGGATGCCAATTTTGCATCGTTGAAATCTGCAGATATCGCTGTGGTTTTTCCTTTTTCAAAATAAATGTGGATCATTGTGGATTTGATCATGATCATTGAATTATCATTAATTTCAGCAAAAGATAATAAACAAACATAATTTTAGTACAAACGGGATTAAAGATATTACGACATTTAATTAATAATTAAAGTTTTTGGAGATGTCGTAGGCAGTTCTTTATGTGGATACTACGAGCTGAGCTGCATGAATGAAAAAATGCTTATGTCAAAGTAAACTAAATAGTTTTTGTTTAGAAGACAAAGAGGTCCCGGTCAGGATTCCTGATTGTATAATTAGGACTATACACAACACGATATATGACACTCGCTTTGAGTAGGGCCCGCTCCTGCGAACCTTGTCGTAACCTGCAAAACATCCGTATAAGGTATCAAAAACTCCGTTTTAATTGATGCAGATGTACTATCCGTATTTCATTACGGTACGTAGGTATTGCATTTTTTGAAGAGGCGATGTTTAAAATCAGTTTTATGTAACAATGTGGTATGTAAGAATTCTATTAAACTTGGTTAGCAGTCCAACTGCTCTGTGAGAATACAAATTTTAGGATGTCTTAAGTTTTCGATACTACATGAAAATATCTTGCAAAACATTTCACATCAAATAGAAAGTGTATGATTGATATGATAACGTTGAAATAATAAATACTTCATGCAAGGTTTGCTAGTATAATCATAATAATTTATTTTTGAGAAACATGAATTGTTGCATTGTAAATATAAAAATCTATGTTTCATTCACACAATAGACCGTAACTTTTTTTTTAAAGCAAGTGAATTAATCAAAACAATTCTCATATTTTATATATATAGGGTTTCCCTAGTGCGGGGCTATGTTGAGTGTGAGCGTTATTATTATTATTATTATTATTTTTGCCTATAAACTAAACTTTGTTTGAACTCTGTCAAAATTCTGAAATTGGAAGCTCTTAATTCTTTCTAAAGACAATATTAACACAGATGCACCTGCATACATGTCTTTTGCAATATAACTTATAAAACGTACATTCCTAAACATCACCTCCCACCAATCAAGTGTAGATGCTTTGCTTTATTTCTTTCATGTGTGCCAATACTGTTTGAATCTCACTCTAACCATCCAATGTTATCTTATATAGCCATAATTTATGCTTAAAGTTAACTACATCTATCTATTATTTATTACATTACAATTAGGAAGTCTATTATTTATTGTTACTAGTTTTTACTCTTATATTTAATTTTATTTTGTTCAAAACTTAGCAGATTTTAAGTTGTTCAAGTTTAGGTATGTTAATAATAATTTTATATAAAAAATTATCTACAAATTTGTATTTTATTCTAATAAATCTCATTGCTTGTTACAGCAAAGGCAGTATCGGTATTGCCTTATTCATAATTTCCTTAAATGTATCAATTTACACATAAACTGAAATATAAAAAATGAATCGCTTGGTTGCAACATGAAATCGAGAAATAAATAGAATTACCGCACTACAGGCAACATTTATGTAGATTTTCAATAGATAATTATATAATAGTAGGCTGTCAATTCCTTTTCTTACACAAACTCAGCTAGAGGTTAAGATTCATAAAAAAGATCTTTGAATTTTGATTTCAATTATTATTGTGATGAATTTTATATATTACACTAAATGAAGTATGTATATTATAATTTTAATGTATCTATATTTTTGTTGCCTATATTAACAATACAAAATAACAATCATCATACACATAAATGACATTCAGTCTTTTATATCAAAACCAATACTGGCAAGGTCGTTGCATTACTTTGTACTAAACAAAAGCTTAATATTTTAATGTAAATGCTTTTCCACTAACTACAAATAGACGATTTGTCAATAATTTTTTTTAGAACATACCTATAGTTTATAGTAGTTAGTGAAAATACATTACCACTATAAAAAAGCAAAATATTAAGAATTTTTCTCAAGCTTAAACATTATCATTGTGACTAGAAAAACTGTAAGTAGCTGGTGTTACTGATGTATTTACACACACTTGAATTGATGGTTTAAAAGAAGAAGGAAGAAGTTTGTGTGCTTCTGGCACTGGGGAATAACTACGACATACAGCAGATTCAAAATGCACTTGGTCATTTCTATCTGTAGGCACTCCATCAAAGCTCGTTTGTTTAGCCGAATCACCTGTTCCACTATCTTTACACGATGAATGCTCCGATATATTGTCTGGAAACATTTGTGGTGAATCACTGTGACTACGCACTACTTGCGTCATATTAATATTTTCTGCGGGAAAACTATGTACGGTTCCGGCCATGCGTCTACGCGTGTGGTAAATAATTACCACCCATATTATTGAGGTTCCTACAGCACAACACACAACAGTTATTATTATTATACCAGTCATATCCTCCTCTTTTACTAAAATTGCAACTGGAGGAAGCACTCTCAATTCAGTCATGTCCTTTTTTGTTCCAAGATCATTAGTAATCTCACACTCATATCGCCCAGCATCGCTTGACTCTACCTCAATGATGACTAACAACTGATCATCAGCAGCAAAGTAGTGACGTCCAGTAGGAACTATTGGTATGCCATCTTTTAACCACTTAAGGGCTGGCTTGGGAGATCCAGAACTCATACACTGTAACACTACGGACTCTCCTTTAGTGACTTCTTTATTTTCCATGACTCTGACAAATGAAGGTTCTTGTAATACTGTTAAAGTAGCATTTGCTATAATAGTGCCTGCAGGATTTTTAGCTGCACAACTATATATCCCCATATCTGTTGTTTTTGCATTTACAATAAAGAAAAGATGATCTGTGGGCATGACATTCATTCTTCTTTCTCTGGCTGCAGGAAAATCATTCCCACCATCTTTCTTCCAGGATATTTCTGGAGTTGGATCTCCTGTAGCAGCACAATTTAAAGTTACAGTCTCCCCAGTCTGGACAGTCACATTGACTGGCGATTTTATGAATCTAGGAAATGTGACAATATTTACTCTAGCTTTTGTTGAATATGTTGTACCAAAACTGTTACTGACTACACATTGGTATTTGCCAGCGTCTGCATGGGTAACATTGGGTATTATTAAAACAGATGTAGCGCGAGGTTGCCCACTATGTGTTATTGTAGTATTTTCAAATACTGAGGGATTGCTAATGTTTCCATTATTTTTTCTCCATAAAAATGTCATATTGCTGAAAGGGTTTGATGTTGCTGAACAGACCAAATTTGCAGATCTTCCTTTAATAGCAAGGTGCGATTTTTTAGGATGTTCCACTACTTTAGGCTTTGGTGAATCACCACAGTTCTCTTCTTTCAATTTAGAGATTGGCATACCTCGCACCTCTGAAGGATAAGCACAAGTGGCTGTTACATATTTTTGTTCACTTTTTTCTTTAATCCATTTGACTATCCACAATGTGTTACAATCACAAAGGAGAGAAGAAGAATTCAAGTGCAGTCTTTTTAGCTTCATCATTGATTCAAAAGCATGTTGTTGAATAGAAGTTATATTGTTCCCTCTCAAATCTAAATCAGTTAAGCTAGACAATCCTTCAAAGGCTCTAGAATTTATTGACTTTATATGATTAGATGCCAGGTTGAAATTGATCAGGCTTTGTAGTTTAGAGAATGGGCCTGACATATCCTCGACTGTCCATGATATCTTATTATTGTTCAATAATAACGCCTCCAAATGCGACATTTGGCTAAATGCTTCTTGAGATATGGAGGAAATGTTGTTGTTACTAAGATTAAGAATTTGGAGATTGAGCAAGTGCTGAAATGACCATCCATCTATTTCAATTAAATGATTGTGAGATAAATCCAATACTCTTAAATTAGTACAGCGTTCCCAACTATCAATATCTATTTTAGATATTAAATTATTTGACAAGGACAGGGTGGTTAGTGATTCAAGGCCGTACATCCAACCTTTGGATATATTACGTAACTTATTATGATCTAATTGAAGAACATTCACTGATTGGAACCCAAAGAAAGCTCCATCTTCCATATTGCCAATATTGTTAAATTTCATTCTGAGGGTAGTTAAGTTAGATAGACCTTGAAAAAGCAGTCCATTTATAACATTGAATTTGTTGTAATTCAGTTCCAAGGTTCGTAATCTCGACTGATACTGAAACAAGTGGTTAGGCAGAGATTGAAGTTCATTTCTGTTCAGTTTCAACACTTCTAAATTTGTCAAGTTGTTTAGTGCTCCCTCTTCAATGACTTGAATATGATTGTGATTTAAGTTCAATACGGTGATGGAACTCTTCGCTTGGAATCGGCCCTTGTTTATTGACGTTATGTTGTTTTTGTTCAGGCTTATTTCTTGTATTTGATTAATGTTTAAGAAGCTTGGAATGTAATGCAAAGAATTCTTATCAAGCTTCAAAACTTTCAGGTTCAATAATTTGTCCAAAACCTCCAAATCCTTTCCGGTCAATCTATTATGACTGAGATCTAAATGTTCCACCCACTTGGGAATTTTTGGCACAGATACGAAATTCTTCTTTGAACAATCCACATATTGTTCGAGACAATCGCAGTTTTGTGGACATTCGATTTCAGCTTGTAAAGTCGATCGTACCAATATTATTGCCGTTAACAATAACAATAGCCGCCGCGAGTCTCCCATTTTTATGCATTTGGGTAGCTGCCCCATTCATTGAGTAGGAAGAAAACGTCTTTTCTTACATAATTGCAGTTTCGTGTAAAGCGCACTTAATGTTTGTGTAAAGCATCACTTCACTTATTTTCCCACTGAACTTATGGCGCATTTTGATAGCACAAAAAGGTTGAAAACTTGAAAAACACACAATTTATTTACAAGAATAGATGCAGCCGCCATCTTCTTTCTTCTTGAGACGAAATTTTAGTGTGACCATTTAATAAATTCAGTTCCCACCAGAATATTACACTACCACACATCGCATGCAAATGGGTGAATTGCACTTTCCGAATTTCAATGGTACTTTTTGAGTGATTTTTGTAAAACCCTTTTTTTCTGTTGGTTTTAAGATCTTAAACGTACAAATAAGTTCAAGCAATGTCAATAATTATAATAAGTTAAATACAACAAGAACCATATTTTAGGTCACACGAATGAGATTGCAGTAACACGAATGCTTTTCTCATAAACATAAATGAGAAAGACGAGACAGTAATGAAAAAATATTATTACAACACACATTTTATCGTTCACAAAAGAATATTTAACAACATTTAATATGTAAGAAATATTTTAATGTAACTTCCTGTATCAAAATCCTTCTCATCCGTGTAAGACCATCTATATATTTCATCTATATTTCCACACGCAAAATAGGCGCTTTGTCGTCGAGTTGCGGAAACCAGCCCGTTGCACCAAGTACCAAAGACCATCTATCTATCTATATGTAATTAATAAATAAATCTAAATAAGTATTTTGTTAATGTCATATAAACTTTGTTGTACATCAATATATCATTATCACCACCATGAACATTATCATCATGATCACCATTATGATCAGCATCACTACCATTCACATCATCATCACAATCATCGTCATCATCACTACAATCAACATCGTCATCATCACCACCATCATCATCGTCATCCCCATCTTCACCACCACTATCACCATCTAATTGTTACATTTCAAGTAATGTTTGGCTTAAAGTAACTATTTGACTTAAAAGTGGACAAGAATGAGAGCGACAATAATGATATTTGGATACATTTTGAGTTGTCAAGTGTATAAAATATGCTGGACCGTTATAAAAGCGCATGGATATTAAAGTTCCCTTTGTCTAATTGATGAACAATAAAGTTTATAAAACTATTACTTAATACTCATTTAGATAGACTGCTTTACATGAATGGGAACGATTTAGTCACTAGCGTTGAAATTGGTATTTAACACTCTCAGCGCCATAGAACAAACAATTTTTCTGAAGCAGCAGGTCACGTGGGCGGCGCGCAGGAGACGTATTTTTTTTTCACTGCACGCCATGCCTGACCTTAAGAAACTTTTGTAGCAGGCCATGTGGGCTACCGGCGGGACACGAGATCGATACTTGATTATGGTCTGGATCAGTTGTTAGCAGAAGAGCTAAACAATTGGCTGTATTCGCCGAACGCACAACTTATATTGTCGGCCTGCTGATGCAACTTTTGGCTGGTCTGTGGACAGGACTAGAAAAATCAAAAATAAATTTAATTTCCTAATTGTGGTACGTGGTGGCCCACATGGCCTGCCAGATAAAATTCGAAAATACGTTGTGGCCTGCTGCATTTGGGATTTTGTGGGCGGCCGGCGGCCCACATGGCTTGCTGGTTAACATTCGAAGACACAAAGTGGCCTGCTGCAGTCGAATTTTTGAGGGCGGCCGGCGGCCCACATGGCGCTAAGTGTGTTAAGTCGATTTTTTGCTAAAACGGAGGTGCACAGGTTACTTAACTGTGTACACTCCAATCCGACAGGAGCCCCTTCACACGTGTGCGAAAGGTGAAGGTGATGCGGTATGAACTTTTATTATTAGGAGGCTTTTAGTTGAACTGACACTAATGCTAAGAAAAATTCAAACACATTTTGTATCCCCAAGAAAACATGTTTGTTTATAATAAATTGGAAAGTTACGGTATGTATTCGACTTGTAAATTATTAGAGTTTATCCTCGATGAGAAATATTGCGATTTCCACGAGTGTTTAATTTTTTTTCTTCTTTTCTTAAAATTAGGGCGGCGTGGAACCGGCTCCCATGAATGAGAAATTGCCCACTTTTTCTATTTTTATTTATTACTGTGACGTAGTAAAGTAGTCTTTTTATGTGTAACACAGACTACGCAAGCAAGCAATCATATTAAATAAATAATGTTTAGTATTCATGTAATAACATAAAAGTTGTTGAAAGGGGCACATTTTTGGAGGTTATCTGAAAACGACCCACATCGACTCTGTGACATCGACAAAATAAAATTTAATTTAATACCTTTATGTTGTGTATGATGGAATTTGATATAGCCATGCTTATGGCAACTGTTCGAACGTTTTCAAATAATATTTATCCACAACATTATGTTCTATGTAATCGATAAATTGAATCAACGTTATCATCGTGACAAAAAACCTAAACATACTTTTTTTCACTATTATATGAAGCCACTATAAAAAGTCGTTTTAAAAATATAATAATACGTCTTTGCAAGTTTTTTTTTTAACTAGGCACTTTATCTTCTCCGGTAATTGCTAATAATACTTATTCAGGCGCTTAGAATATGGCAACAATGGTTTCTGGATCATCTTTGCAAGCAATATTTTATAACAAGTATTAGGTATATTAATTACAAGTTGAATTCACTATTACAAATGTAAATTAAGAATTGCAATCAGTTAATTAATAATCGTTTAATTGTTTAGATGTATATTCTAAGAGCCTGAATAAGTATTATGAGCAATTACATGGAGAAGATAAACTGTCTTTTTAAAAGATAATTGTTGCAAAGGCGTTTAATTATTTAAAAAAAAAGAACTTTTCATAGAATCTTCTTAAAATAGTGAAAAAATGTATGTTTAGGTAGAAATTAGGTAATAAATAGTTATATTTAAAAAAAGTAAATTATATACTACTAGAATCATGAAAAACGTAAAGTGGTCAGCCAACCTGACATTAGAATGGCTGGCCACTTAATTTCTTTAATATTTCCGTTAGTGCTAAGGTAGAAAATATGTCAATAAAGGACTAAATACTCTAAAATAGGTAGTCACAGTTTGATTTGTATATTTAGTTTGGTCCAGCCATCCTGACGGACAGGATTTCTATGAATGCAACATATCTTTTGAATTTAACATTAATTTTTTGGTCCAGATATCCTGACGGACACGTAGAGATCGACGTTTGAAATCTGTTCCACAACATAAACAAACTTTTTTTTAAAAATTGTGTTTCATTTGAACTTGAAAATGACAGGCTATAGATACCTACAATTTTGATGAACAGAATGAACATACTGAATGCCCCGATAGATTCATATATATTCACACACCTGAATATATTCATAGCCCGTGTGGCTTAGCAGGCCAAACCCGTGTACTATATTTTGTTTACTTCAATTTTATGATTTTCTAAAGTTTTGGAGAAATGTGTAGTGAGTAGCTACCTACATAAATAAAAATAAAATAAAATTTGCTTTATTTGACATGCAAAATACATACATTTCAAACATTAAAGAAGAAAAATAAAAAACCATGTTACAAGGTTCATGACTCAGCATTTACGAAACTACGCTAGTTACATAGCCCTCACTATTATTCTGCCATAACACGATGTAAAGACCTGATAGAGCATGAAATACTCATCAAATATTCAAACTGCAATTAAAATATAACATAAAAGCGTAAACAATTACGTTATTAGCTGTAGTTTTTTTTTTTTTTTTTTTTTGGTAAAGCCACCCATTGTAAAGATAAAACATGATTGATTTGTATTTTATGATGATCATATAATTTGCTCATTGAAATATGACTAAAATATAATTTAAAAAATGGAATGACAATATGAATAATGAAAAACAGTTTCAACATGCGGTAATTGTCATTACAATCAATAGTACAGTCTAAGACCATATTAAGCTTGAATTTTTATATGTTAAGCCGCCCTTATCTCAAACAGCATAGAGATTAATTTCAATCTTAAGTGTCAAGCTTGACATGCTCTTTATTAGAGCTGCTGGGCTGATGTGCAGTCCCTAAAGTAAGCAATCTAATCAAATTTAATCAGTAAACTGCACTACTTTGGTCTTTCAGTTCCCTTAAAGGGGACATTCACTTTCCTGCATTGCTTTGATTGAAGTAAACAAAATAAAATGATCGGTACATTTATGGCTTCTCAAAGCAGACAGTTCTTACTGAACTTTGCTAGAAGGTAGGTGAATGATTGAGATCATGCAAAAGGTTTCATCATCAGTTTCCTTTAGTGTCGGGAATTTGTTCCACTTCCTAACACGTAAATTACTCCTTCCTACTCTTGACCTTGTACAAGATTCATGATGAATTAAATGCTATGAGTAGATAACCCACCAATCCATGAATGTTGTGATGAATGTCTATCCCAATATGTTTTTAATATCCTGGGTATTAAAATAGATAAAACATATTTATTAAAGGTATACATACATTGTACGACATCGTGTAAGCAGCGCCTGGAAAAATAAAAGTTATATACCAAATTAAGTTTCAACTATTTAGTGCTAAATTACACTCATATGCACTATAGTGCTTACCTGTAGAAAAAAAATATATACCAGAAGAGTTCTACTTCTCTTTTTGTTGTTAAGCAGTACCAATATAGTTTATTTACTTTGAAATGTTTACTTCTTTGCTAAAATAAATGGTTTTCGTGTAGCAATCTTTCTAATTTGTGGAAGTAATTAACGCAAATGCGTTTATTTCATATTCTTGTAATAGTATTGCTACATTGTTATCCTACAGAGAAACAGAATCATTCATATTTATTGAGGTATATCGCTCTATGTAGTGTAAAATTTATAGGAAAAAAAAGTGCGATGACATTTATTTTTTCGCAAGAGCCAAGAGCCAAGAGAAATAAGAAAAAAAAAGTTTTTTTTTCTAATTTCTCTTGGCTCTTCGGGGTAAGCGTTTTAACTACTTTCAAGGTGTTTTGACTAATTTGCTTTTAAAACGGGGAAACTCTTGTAATATCATGGAATGTAATTTGGAAACGGAATTCGAAAGTTGGAGAAAAAGTGAAAAAGGAATCAGGCGAGAAATTATGAGATGTAAATAAACATGGTATGAATAAAGAATAAATAAGCAGTTAAATTTTTATATTATTTTCTAAAATAAATTTAGATAAATAAGTATGTATATAGAAGAGTTACTGGACAACAACATCTACCGTATAAACGTCTACGGTATAAACTTAGATTATAGTACTAAGGGTATAAACGATCATTTTTTTTAATGTTCATATGACTTTTTAGGTAGGCAAAGGTTTCTCAATACAGCCTCTTAGAAATTGTATCTTTCCTTGTTCCAGGGTCAATCCGCGTTTTTGAAATGTACTTCTGTTCACATTTTTGAAAACTGAGTTTAATGCGTGCTAACTAACGCAAATGAAAAGATAAATTAATTATCATTGTAAACATATAAGAGGCACTTTAATTTACCAAGTAGATCCAAAGTTATTAAATTTTAAATTTATGTCATGAAATGGTAATGACCATAGTGATACGGTAATGATTTTTTTCTGCACGGTAATGATGCTACATTACCGGCTATGACGAATGGGATTTTGAATAAAAAATTTTAAGCTTGAAATCTTAAAAAAATATAATAACACATCATAGAATATAGGCATTTATCTTTTTAGGAGTTAAGAAGGACGTTTTCAAGAAACAAATTTGTTTTCAAGAAATAAAAAGTAAGTCTGTTTCAAACCACTCTTTAATCACCATATTTAAAATTTTTTAGAAGAAAATTAAGTCACACTTTGGTTTTGTATGCGTAAATAACAAATAAACTGCTTCACCATTTAAACAATAAAAAAAGGACATATAATTTAAGTTTCATTTCTTATGACTCGGGAACCACAAATTGCTGCGTTTCGCAAATTGACCCTCCAACGTTTCATTTTTGACAGTTCGTTATCACTCGTAGAGATTTCAGTAAACATTCCAGTATTAGTTGATTTGATGTGAATCGATTAACTTTGTAACAAGGAAAAGCGTTTTGATCAACTTCCATGAGGCTAACTTTTTTTCTTTGTTGAATGTAAAATAATTTAGTAGACATAGCAAACATGTACGTATATTATATATAATAACAGAAAGATATATCGTTGAGCGAGCGACAATAGATAATAAAATCGATTTATTTTTGGAGGCTCTATTGAGCGAAACACGTCAATCGTTTACTAATTTTCTCATAGTCTCCTCGAACAAAAATTTATGAAAATCTGCTAAATATTAGCCACGACTCGGTACACCGTTGGAAGTGAAAATATTAATGAGAAATGGAGACATATGAAAGTGTTTTGTTGGTGAAAAATGAGGTGTTTGTGTTTAAAATACCACCTAAAACCTCAAACAGAGGGTACAGGTAAGTGTTAACAATTTCAGAATTCTTTTTTTTTATGTTAAGATGAGCAAGGCGATTAAAAGATTAATTTTTATTCAGGGCAGCTGATTGGAATTTACAAGAACCTCAATGGACTGGGCGAATGAGACTTGTGTCGAAAGGTGAAGAGCTGGTGATGAAACTCGAAGACAAGACTTCTGGGGAGCTATTTGCGAAGTGTCCCATTGACAAATATCCAGGAGTAGCTCTAGAATCCGTCACTGATAGTTCACGGTACTTTGTTGTAAAGATCCAAGATGATAATGGTAAATTGCACTGATTATGAAAACTACTATTGTTATCACTCTTTATAAATATAGTTATTAATTACACGCAGAATACGCCCCCTTATTTGCCATCTATTTGTCAGCAATTACTCATGTTCAGACCAAATTATATAAATCTGTATTGATTAAAAAAAAATTTGATACTATAGAAACTCTGATGTTCATACTTGGTTCTAATGTAATTATTTCCACAAAAGTAAATAAATAATAAAGCAAATAGTTTAAGGCATAATCTTGTGTAAACTGATTATGTCTATGCAAATCCCAGTTACATTTGTTTTTATGTTTCTAATATTATTAGTTAGAATTTAATTTTCAACCTCATAGTAACTAAAGTATCAATAGTAATTATCTATTGCTACCTTTAAAAATACAAACTCTGAAATAAAAACATAACTTATTGCAGGTCGAAGTGCATATATCGGTCTAGGCTTTGGCGACAGATCAGATTCATTTGATCTCAATGTGGCTTTACAAGATCACTTTAAATGGCTGCGAAAAGAACAAGAGGATCAATCAGCACCCCAGCAGCAGCTGGATCTTGGATTTAAGGAAGGAGAGACAATTAAGATTAATATGAAAATTACTGTAAGTTTTGTCATAAATAATAACAAACAGAAACTTCTAACTTTATTTGTCTCATTACTATTATATATATAATTATTGTTGTAATAAAAAGGGTGTAACTAACTGACTATGCTCCAAATTAGGAATTGGAGTATTTGCCTTAGGGGATCTGAAAAATAATTTCAACCTGTATTTGTTATGCATTTATTTATTATCTTTGAAACTCCCATATTTGAGAAGTATTCACACAATTATTTAATGTATTTTTTGATAAAACAATGCGTATAATGTTTCCAGAAAAAAGATGGCAGTGAAGGTAGCCGACCGCGACGAGGTGTAGGTGGCGCCGGTGGTGGAGGTCTGTTGCCGCCTCCTCCAGGCGGCTCCCGGTTACCACCTCCACCCTCACCTCAACACACCCCTTCGCCCTCAGCCCCTGCTGCACCACCTGGTGCTAACTCAGAGTGGGGTGAATTTAACTCTGCAAGGTTATTACCACTTTGACATAATATTCAGAAAGCAATTCTCTAGAGCAGACTACTGTAGACTCTTTCCTACATTTCCGTTTTCCGTTAAGACCAGAACCCTCTTCTTAAATTCCCCCTAAGATTATCAGCATCCTGCAAACACAAAACATACTAATTTTATTTACTACAACACATTACATAAATGTGGGTGGTTTTAGTAGCAGTAGAACTCCTTGCAAAAGCATTCATCCAGGGAAGTACTGCCATCATACCTATTTCTGGCGCCAAGCAGTAATGTCAGCATTACCGCGTTCCAGTTTGAAAGGGTATAAGGGTGCTGGTGGAATTACAGGCACATGGGACTTGTCAACTGTTATCAATAGGCGTGTAGCTTACCATCAGGTGCACAATTTGTTCATCCCGTCACTTGATATTATAAAATAAAAAATAAAATAGTCTAACAACTAATAATCAGCCACATTATGTTCTGCATTTAATTTGCCAATTTCAACGCCATCGCCATAAGGATGTTTATAATACCTGTGTAATTTTTAGTACTTTGATTATCATTTATAAAATGTATTGAAAATTTTGTATGCCCTTCAATAATCATATAAAAGTGTCAGAAAACACAGTACCGTATAACTACACGACCTTGACACAATGTTAGTTAAACACTGTGTTTTATGAATAGTGTACAGGCAATCAGCATACAATGCTAATTATGTCATTATATTGGAAGTCACATAGTACACACGCCAGCACACCAAGCTACACATTGACGTATCTTGTTCCGTCGCACTCGTGGCGATTTTCGAACAAAAATGTGTAGTCTGATGTGTCGTTGTCTGTACATTGGTGTAAATAATCTTTTTTTGTGGTAAATTATACTCTTCATTCCAATTTATGAAAATAGGTTTTAAGTTTTTCATTTACTTATTATAAGAGTGTTTTATAAAATCTCTTTTAATAGGTGGCTAGTTTGCTTATTTTGGACTAGTTAGATAAGTACAGTAGGCTATGTGATACACAAGACTGAATTATTATGTTAAACAGTTATAGTAGTAAAATATTTCGTCCTACAGGACAGGCTAAAGCTTTTAAACCATAATGCAACATGTTAGTTTTTTTTAAATTTTTACCTCATTGAAAAAAGTCAAATAAAATTTTGGACAAATGAGAGCAATCGGCTACCATGATTACTAACAACACTTCTTAGATGCTAGAGCTTGCGGGCTTAGTAGATGAATGGCCAATTCGCAATATGGCCAATAGCTCAACATATGGGCCAAATCTCTCAGTGACTAGTTATGAAAATAGCGAACTAAATAACTAATTATATTAAGTGACTTTCCGCCAAGCAAACCACATTAAACATTATTATTAAGTTGGTTGTTCTATGTATAATAATTATGTACACATTATCCGCTGTTCATGAATGGATGTCGAATAATAAATATATCTTTTCGCACCCCTCATGGCAGAATGGCATAGGTGGAGTTAAGTAAAAAACGTTTATTGCTGAATTAGATACCCACATCTTCTCCAATTTTTGTAAACGTTTTTGACGTAACTTCACTTATGCCATTCTTCCATAAGTGGTGCGATTTTATTTGTTCGTTTGTTGTTACAGTGAGCCAAGCCAGCCTCCGATCACACCCGCCAGCCAACAAAACTGGGTGCAATTCTGAAGTAACACCCGAAGTATCTTATTGTGATTTGGTGTCCGCATTTTGGGTGGCAGTACATTAATGCACAATACTTAAAGAAATACTTAATAACTTAGCGCTAGATCATATCACATGCTTTTCACAAGTATGAAATTTTAATGTGTTCGTGAGATCGTAGATACTATCTATATTATAATTAATATACGTATACTATTATAACGTAGTGTATTAGAACAGCAAGAGATGCCAGATCACAATATTCATAAGAAAAAAAGTATGCAATAATATGTGTTTATAAAATTAATCATGGAATTATCGTTTATTTTGTCTGTATATGTTGTAATACTTATGTATATTTAGATAGATATAGTTACAGTAGGTGTTTTCGGCTCTACATATTGTTGTTATCGTATGTTCTATATTGTTACAAATTGCATGGTCATAGACAATTTCTATGTAAATAGATGAAGTTACCAAGTCTCGCTTGGTAAAATAGATCTGTATTTTGGAACTATTATATGAGAGATGTACAAAAACATATAATAAATGGAAACTTAACTACTATTCACAAAATGGTTTTAGTTCGGGAAAACCAATGCAAGCAGATTTAACAGTTTAATTTTATAACAGGTAAGTTTGAGTCGTTATGTATTTACAAGTCTTACGCCTTACGTCCAGCCAGGTGAGTGCCCATTTGGGAAAGGCCGTGTTGGAGGCCGTCGTGAGCGGCGTATGTGAGACCCTCATCCAATAAGCGACATGCCTACCTATAGTAGTATTGCCCTCCTTGTTATAACTAACGCATTTGCGTTTCGGTAACTTTTTTTTTATAATATCAAGTGACGGACCGAACAAGTGTTATTGTCACCTAAAATGCCAATAACGCTGTTTGTGCTTAACAATAAAACTGACACTAAATAAGATATTTAAAAACCGATTAGAGTGGGTCGTAGATCTCGTTTCGCTTATTCCAGATATGTCAACAACTGAATTTCGCTACAAATGCCGATTACGTTAGTTATGACGGAGGACGGAGGATTTGTTCCAGTGCAACTCAGAACTTTAAGAGCTTGTTCACATAACGAGCGGTCAACGGGCGTTTAGCTAACGTGCGCTTACAACTTACCGAATGTTGTACGTAAATCGCTCTAGGTGTGCACATGCGAACGACCAACGCCGCGCTAACGCCGGGCACTTTAAGGCCTTATTCGCACGAGACTTTAAAAAGCGTTGCGTTAAAACTCGGCGTTGGCGCTTTTATAACGTTCTCGATGTGATTGTTCATACGAACGCTTTAAAATCACTCTTGTTTCGTTTCTCGCTTCAGTAAGACGTGGAAATGGTTTCTGCTAAATTACTAGCTATAGCGATTTGTGTTGCTAGAAGACGTAAAAGAAAACAAAAGGCATTCTGGGTTCATCCTCTGAATGAACTGAGATACTTAAAAGCGCAGTTTGTGACACTGTACGAAGAATTGAGGCAATACCCCCATTGACTTACAATTATATGGACGTCGGGTCCGCGCTAAAAAGTATCCGCACTTGTAAGGCGCTAAAATCGTATACAGAGCGCGACACTCCGCTTTAGTCTTCATTTGTTCTACTGACAGCGGGATACTGCGATGACATTACAATTTAAATTTCGAATAGGTTGACTTGGGACATTTTTTTCGTGGTTTTTGTATTAGACCCGTCGTCCATTTATTTGTAAGTCAATGAATACCCCGATAATTTTTTTAGTTATTTTCGAATGTCTACAACATTTGACGAACTTTTGACAATAGTGGGTCCTCGAATAACACTTCAAGATACCAACATGCGTTTGGCGATACCACCTGTACAACGACCAGCTGTTACACTTAGTAAGTAAAACAATAATTACAAAACAATTTTTATTTATTAAAAACATAGGTATTAAATTTAACAATCATCTGGAGACAAGTAGAACTCTTCTGGTGAACTTATATTCGTCAAGAGGCTCTGAACAGTTGTTGAACTTAATTGGTCAGTGTTGGACGGAGATGGGCAAATATTTGGGTTGAAAGTGGTAAAAAAGCTTTGTGCGGAGTGTGGCCTAGAACTTGGTGCAGTTGAATAAGCGGGGCGGTATTGACGATTCTTTAAAATCCTAATTACTTTCGATGGATGTACAGGATTAACGGATGAGGGTTGATGCAAGGACAGTGTCGAGTGTGACTTTGAGTGCTGCTGAAACATATTATGTGCTTGAGTGAATGTTGGCTTTGAGAGCTGTTGTGGAGTCTGAGTATAGCTGAAGCTGGTCTCCGATTGTGGCTGCTGCTGATACACGTAACGACTTTGAGTGGATGTTGGTTGTGAATGCTGCTCTTGTGTGATCTGATTACAGATAGGTGTTGATTCAAGCGAAGGGATTGAATTTGGGTGACTGAAATATGGTTCAATGTTTGGTGCTTGGTTGGGCTGACTAAAATATGGTTCAATGTTTGGTGCTTGGTTGGGCTGACTGATGTTTGTATTAAGCGACCTATTTGAGAAAGTGCGAATTACTCTTAATATTTCGATTTTGGCTAACATTTTATTGTCATCGTACATCTTTTTAAGTGATTGAACCTAAAACATTGAAAGTGATAAACATAATGTTTTATCCTCGTCCGCTTCTGACATTTCATTTTTGATGGCCTTCAGAACGTCATCCTCAAAGGATGATTTTGTGTTCTTTTTCTTCTTTGGAGTCTCTGGAACATTATGAGTGGCAGTCGAAGGTCCAGCTGGAGAATTTTCGTCGTTCGGCTGTGACGGGCTTTCAATATTTTGCTCTGTTACATTTGTTGGAGTGCTGTAGTTTCCACAAGTTTTGGCATCTTTAACGTGTGGAATAATAATTCATCGTAATATCTGTATTTCTTTCTCTTTTTTGCACCTTGGCTTGATGTGACATCTTTTTGGGCTTGATATTCACGTCGAAAGTTGTCCCTTAAATGTTTCCATTTTGCTTGTACGTCTTTGTCTAAAAAAAATATATGTAATTAATCTCCAGCCATTCATTTATTACAGATTTTTAGCAAACAGGCAACAATTTTCATGATTTACATTACCAGTTTTTACTTGGAGTATCTACTATACATTACATTATTAAACAAGTCTGTGACGAAATATGGGATTGTTTAAAGCCTGTTTATGCCAGAAAAAACAAAGGATGACTTTAAGAAAATATCCGAAGAATTTTACCGCTGCACTAATTTCCCCAATGTAATCGGGGCTGTAGATGGCAAACACATTGAAATAACAAAGCCCAATCAAAACTGTACTATAATTATAAAAATTATTTTTCTATAATTTTAATGACAATTTGTGATGCAAATTATTTTTTTACTTGCATTGAAGTAGGTGCTTACGGCGGTTCTACTGACTCAAAATACATCATTTAACAAGCAATTAGAATCAGGCCAAATCGATTTACCAGAACCGAAAACTTTACCGAATAGTCCGAATGGGAAAAACATGCCATTTGTATTAATTGGTGATGAAGCATTTGCTCTATCTGGACATGTTTTACGACCATATCCGAACCGCAACTTGACTGTGCAACAACGTATTTATAATTATCGACTAACACGAGCACGAGTAACGATTGAATGCAGTTTTGGTATTCTATCAAACAAGTGGAGGATTTTAACGAGAGCTATAGAACTTCAACCCGATCGCACGATACCGGTAGTTAAAGCATGTTGTATTCTACATAATTTTGTAAGAAGCAAAGATGGATTCCAATTTGATGATACTTTGTTTGACAGTCCAATACAAGGTCTCCAACCGACAGGTCTAAGAAGTAACCATACTGGTCTGGAAATACGTGATTATTTCGCTAGATGTTTTACATCGCCAGAAGGTTCTATCCCGTGGCAATATCAAGTTATCAATAGACAAAATGGTGAATAAGTAAAAAAAACTATGTACCTACATATTTGATTAAAATAAATAAAATGCATTATTTACTTACATCGATTATTTTTTTCCTCATTGGTGAGGGTTTCCCAGTCCTCTGAGAGATTTTTGGTTACGTCCTACCAGGCATTATTTTTCATAATCTTATTTGAGTAACCTGGCAATGCTTTTGCATATAAAAGTGGACGAGACTAGGACTTCGGGATCCACAGCCCACGACATCGTATCGCCGGTCTGCTAACATAAACACAAAACCAACACGTCTGACTGCCGAGATGCTGCCGAGCGAGCGCGCGGCGAACTGAGTGAGGCGCCGCACAGTGTACGATTTGACTAATCTAGGCGGACAAAAGGTATTTAAATGAAATGTTTACAACTGCGTTTTTCTAATCTTTTTATACTCCTACATACATACTTTCAATGATAACACAAAGCAAATAACCCTCTGATGCCTGCAACTTGTTTTAAACAATGGGCAAAGTTCCCGGAACCAAGCCAGGTAGGCGGCCGACCTCTCAGTGTGACCGTTAACGCTAACGTGTGTACATGTTTTTCGGAGTTTTGAGTAATTTCACGTGGTATTTTGTTATGGAGTCATCAAGTAAAGGTAATTATCCATTTAATTTAGTAATAAAATAAATCGAATTGTATGTTGATGAATATGTAATACTCATTTAAAAAGATCCATAATTTAAAAGATTTGTTTACTCCGAATTAATTTTCGTTCAGAGATCTACCATGTAGTCAAATGTAGTCAAGCTATAATAGTAGTTTTAAAAGATTGCTTGTTTGATATACTTTGATCGTATAATAATAGTTTTTTGCGATTTTTTGCGATTATAAATTTATTTGTATTTTTCTTTACAGGTGCCCAAATGAAGCGAAAATTAATATTTGATTTTTGGCGTTCCACTTCGCCCAAAGGCCGAATAAATCGAGTAATCAACTTCGTGAAGACGAGTTTCGGTGATTTGAGTGTTACCGAAGAACAGGACACGCAGTTAAAAGTGTTCTTAAAAAAGGAGTGCGAGAAAATTCGTGTAAAATGGGATCGCAAGCAAAGACGATTGGACCTATTTATTTAAATAATTTCACAGTCCAGAATTATAAAAATGTTCAACAAGAAGCAAAAGAAAGGGGGTTCAATTTATACCCATGCTATGACCATTTAGTATAAGTGAAGAAGCAGTGCTATCCTGCTGTTGAAAATATAACAGTTACAGATGTATCAGCGGAAGTAAATTTGAATGCTATATTGAACCATACTGCATTGAGAATATGCAAATATATTCTTGGAGAGAGGTTAGATACAAGTGTGTTGGATTATAATTTAATATATAAGTGGGGATGTGATGGATCTTCGGGTCACAGCTTGTACAAGCAACCATTTGAAAATCCCGATAGCACTGACGAATATATGTTCGTCATATCTTTAGTACCAATAAGACTTGAAGACAATGCACAGAAGGTGATTTGGGAAAATCCTCGACCATCATCACCAAGATTTTGCAGAGTTATTAAATTCATGTATAAGAAAGAGTGCGAAGCA